ACATCACATTGCCAACAAAAGTCCGAATAGTCAGAGCTATGGTTTTTCCTGTAGTGATGTATGGAAGTGAGAGCTGGACCATAAAGAAAGCAGACCGGCGAAGAATTGATGCCTTTGAATTGTGGTGCTGGAGGAGGCTCTTGAGAATCCCCTGGACTGCAAGGAGAACAAACCTATCAGTTCTAAAGGAAATCAAACCTGAGTGCTCACTGGAAGGACAGATCCTGAAGCTGAGGCTCCAGTACTTTGGCCATCTCATGAGAAGAGAAGACTCCCTGGAAAAGACCCTGCGGGCCTGGCATGCTCTGGTCCATGGGGTCATGAAGAGTCGGACACGACTAAACGACGACGACCTTTGACTGCAACATTCAGCCCTTGCATGTACAGTGGTGCCTCGACTTACGAACGCTCCGACTTACAATCATTTCTAGTTATGACCAGCTCCGTCTGCAAAATTTTGCTTCCATTTGCAACTGGAGCTTCCACTTACGAACAGAAAAAGGCAGGGGGAAAAAGCAGGAAATTCAAATTTCTAACTGTAGGTGGTGACAAGGCTGCTTCTTTGTAGCTCTTTTGCTCCAGAGATCGTGGGAGGCTTCGGGGGCTTGGGACTGCCTCCTTCTGCTTCTGAGAGCCTGTGTGTATGTGTTTGCAAGGAGGTGTCTGGCTGCCCTGTAAGGAAAGGTGCTGTTTTCTGCATTTTAAAAACTGTTCTGGGTGTTTTTGCAGTGTGGTTTTGAGCTGGAGGGTTATATTTCTGTGCTGTGATGGGTCTTGGGGGGTTTGTTTGGTTTTTGGTCCCCCTATTTCTGATGGGTCTTGGGCGGTTTGGTTGCTTTTTAATTCCCCCCCCCATTTCCAATGGATCTTGGAGGGTTTCTTTGCTTTTTGGATTCCCCCCCCCCATTTCTGATGGATCTTGGGGGGTGTGTTTGCTTTTTAGTTTCCCCCCATTTCCAATCTTGCATCATCTGCTTGATTGCTTTTTGCTTTCTTTTGTTTGCATTTGCAATGGGTCCTGCACGGTTGATTGGTTTTTGTTTTGTTCTCCTTGCATTAGGTCTTCCACACTTGATTGCTTTTTGCTTTCTCTTGTTTGCATTTGCAATGGGTCTTGCACGTTTGACTGCTTTTCTTCCCGCTCCCCCTTCGGCTGGAAGGGATTAATCGCAGTTCCAACTGTTTTTTTAGTGATTTTTTTGGTGATTTTTTTCCTTCGGCCGGAACAAATTAATTGCATTTCAATGCATTCCAGTGGGAAATGGTGCTTTGACTTACGACCATTTCGACTTACACCCATCTTCCTGAACCAATTAAGTTCATAAATCGAGGCACCTCTATATGTGTAGGAGGCAGATGTTCTGTGATTTTTCAGGCAGGCAGGACACCTTTTAAGAACATTTGTCTCGATAGGGACAGCCAATTCCCACACTCAACCTTGAGGGAAAGGCCCTGCATCACAACAGTGTGTTGCTCCTAGGTGCCCCTGGGGACCATTGGTCTTAGGAAAACAGCTGGGAGGGGGACTTTTTCATCCCATTCCACCAAATTAGAGAGAAGCTCTGGGCTGAAAACTCTGCTCGTAGCCTCTGTGTCTGCCCACAGCTTGCTTTATTTGACCCATTGCCCTTCCCTGGGAAACTGAGCTGATTCATGCAGATGCAGCTCCTCAAAGCATCCACTCAATAAGGGGCGTGTAGTATGAGAGAGAGGGTGTTCCTATGAAGAAAGGTTGTGTGGGATACACTTCCCCAAAATTACCTTTTTGTCCTGTTTGCTGATGTTGTCTAGGCTCAAGGACGCCAGGTAGTTCTTCCCCCCTACAAAAAGCCGCCCCCTCTCTTCATCAAGTAGCAGCGTGTCATAACAGCAGGAACGCTCCAACTCATAGGTGCGCAGTCCATGGCGCATCCGGAGATCTGGAGAGAAAAGGGGGTCTGAATGACAATCTAAACCACAGAGAAGCCTGTGTGATGCACAACTCTGTTAGCACTATCAGAAAATCAACGTCAGGGACAATCAATTGGGACCAACTAACCATGGCACACACCAACGGAATGACATGAAGACAATAAATAATTGGTTTAAACTTTTGTAACTTTTTTTTACGAATCACATTAAATATAGGAACAGAGAGGACGGTTATAAATGTTAAAATAGACTAAAGTGTAAGCTGTTAAACATACTTATATTACTCATAGGTGAATTCCTAGCAGAATTTTACTTTTTTGGACTAAAATTCCCAGATTCCTTCAGCTGATGCAGACATATTGGCTGGAAGATTGTGTAATCCAAAATTTAATTTTTCCAAGCTCTGGTTCCAAAACACATGTAGATTTGTAAAATAAAGTGAACATCCTCTTTCAAATTTCTCTCTTAATGTTCTTTGTACTCTGACTGATGTACCCATGGTTTTTGTGTTGGGCTAGGAACTGGGAGACTTGAATCCCCACTTGGCCATGGAGATTTGCTGGGTGATCTTGGGCTGGTCATAATCTGAACCTAATCTATCTCACAGGTTTATTGTGAGAATAAATATGGGGAGAAAGAAAGCCATGGATGGCACCATGAACTCCCTGGAGAAAATGCAGGATGTGAATGTAAGCAAATCCGATCTGAATCAAATCAACTGATTGACCAACAACTCTACAGAGAGGACTGCCAGGTCTGCAGCAGCATCCAATTCTTTGAAATTTCAGGGTTAAACTTTGGAACCCATGGATGTGCCCCTTGGCGACATCACAAAGGGTGTGCCCTAGTGCTGTCAAAAGGGGCTAACTCTCCAGCAACAATTGCAAAACAGTGTGTGTCTGATATAGACAGACACCGTGGTGAATTTAAAGGCTAATAAAGTAGTTCAGCTAAGAACCTGCCTACCTCCCAGAGTCCCACACAGTGGGAAGCAAGTGTATATTCAGAAGCCAAAGGGAACACTGTTTTCTAAACCAAAGGTGGGGCAAGAGTAAATCTGGACCGGGGGTGTTCTGCAGTATGCCAGGAAGAACCTCAGCCAAATCAAGAGTTGCCACTAGGCCGAGAACATTCCATTCCTTGAAATTTCAGGGACAAAACATGAGAACGAGAGAATAAACACCAAGGGCCCATGACTTGAGACTTTAGTAGGGAAAGAGGTAAGAGATGGTTACCATTCCCAAAAATATAAGCACTTTTTTTCACCTTAAACGCTAACTGCAATATTTTTATTATTATTACATACTTTATTTAGTTTAAAACAGTAGTGATAGTACATATTAAAAAGGAAGGAAAAAGAGAAAGCATAAAACAAAAACAAAAAAAGAGATTAAGGTACAGAGTTAACCAGACGCTATATTTGCTATTATCATATTCCTTTTTTTCTTTATCAATCTGTTTATCATTGGTGTGTGTATATATATAAAAATAAAATTACCTGTACATGGATCTCAACTTTCTTTACCTCTTTTACAAGTCATTTTACATATTCTACATTTATGCGTTTGGCTGGAGCCACACATAAAATAACTCCCATTTCCCGTTTTGTGTCTGTTCTGTGTTTTGTTCTAATATATCTGAGAGTTTATCTATTTCTGCTATGCTCATTATTTTTTCCATCAATTCTTCCTTTGTTGGCTTTTGGAATCTCAAAGTTTTTCCAATATTTGAGAATTCTGTAGAGAATTCTATAGAGAATTCTGGCTGCTGTTAGTATCATAATAACTAAGTAACCATTTATCTTATCTATAACATCTAGTGTAATATTAAGTAAGAATAGGTCTGGTTTAAGTGGAATTTTATATCTCATTATTTCTTGTAATAGCACCTTTACCATTTTCCAGTATACTTGTGCTTTTTTGCACGTCCACCACATATGATGAAATGAGCCTTCATTGATCTTACATTTCCAACACTCGTTTGATAGACTCTGGTTCATTTTTGCTAATTTAGTTGGAGTTACATACCATCTATAGAACATTTTATAAACATTTTCTTTAAAGTTTAAGTATTTAATTGTTTGGTTTAACTGGGATCTATCTTGTAATATTCTCTGGTACATGAACAAGAGAAACGTTAAAAACCATGACATTGGTACCTCTCATAAATCCTTGTTTCAATCAAGTCGAATTTATGCAGGTGACCTTTATGTGACCTTGGCTGTGTCAAGGCCCCTCTGAGCTCTTCACACCCTTCTGTTTATTTGGACTACAAGTTTCTCAGAGTAGCCATTAACTCCTTATTAAATCTGTATCCCCAGTTTTACTGCACTCAGTAGAGCAGGATTTC